GATTTTTTTACTTGCATCTCCTATTTAATTAGGAAACAAAAAAAACAATTTAAATTTTTTGACTCAACTATATTACTTTGCATTTTCGCATTTTTTATCTTCTATTAAAAGAAATATAAAAATCATACAAATTTACTAGAAACTAGCTAAAATTAATTTAAATAGCATATAACTCAGTAAAAAAACTTAGATTTTATAATTCGTATTTTGTCAAAACAAAATTTACTTACTAAACTGCTAGATGCCATAAGTTTTATATTGATTTGAAACTTATTTCCCAAAAAATGCTAAGCGTCCGTTGTTAAACTAAACGTATTAGAATATTGTAACTATATGGAAGTTTTAAAAGACTACTGTATACATACACATTTACAATGCCTCCTATGTGACACCGATTGCTGGTCTCTACCAGTTAGGAATTGCACTGCACCAAAGTGCACTCCAATCCCTCATCGGGCAGGATGAAAAAGATGCCGAAGTGCGCCGCGGGAAACCTTGCTAAAGTATTTATTTATTAACGAACACTTTTCTTGTGTGGGTATGAACTTAACCTAGTAGATACTGTAATTTAGACTGTAGTTAATACCGTACCGAGAAAAAAACGGAAATAAACAAAAATGAACCAACAAACCAAAATGAACCAAATCAAAACATACCTAACCAAAGCAATCAAAACACGTTGTAAGCTAAAATACGTCTGTTTACGAATTCCAATTGCCGAGTACTTTTCAAATCTTGCTATATTTTACAATATTTTATCAATAAAGGAAAATGGTACTCTTCCGCAAGAAAACTACTGGAGATATAAAGTCGGTTAAATGGGGAAATAATTGCAGTTTTGTGGGGTCATAGGTAAATATGCGCCTTTCAAATTTTTGAAAAAGTTCATAGCTTACTAGATATTTCGAAAAAAAAAATTTGGCTATTTTAAAAATTGTCCCTAATTCCATTATAAGTTATTTCAGACAAAAAGTTTTCAAATCAAAGTTGTAGATAACCTCATCCTTAATGAGATTGTGTCGTCCGTTTTCTTCTAAAGCCTGTCGTTTTTGACATATGACACAAACATGTTTTTTAAATGGAAACATAGTTGGCCATGACTTCATAAAAAGCGCCATTTTTAAAGATTTTCAGCGATAGCTATAATGTTTTCTTCGAAAAATTACTGAGTTATAGCCAATTCTTATCATTTTTAATCAATTTCACTTAGTTAGCCATGGAAACAAGTTTAATCGCCGTTGCTCTCAGAAATGTGAAGCTGTCACATCTAAACTTTGCAAATTAAAATAAGCAAAAATTGTAAATATTAATTTTTCAAGTGAAGAAAAGCGTGTAGGATTATTGGTTCAACTATTCTTGACCATACATTTTCGAGGATACGTTAACCGGTGCATGTTACGTTTCTTAGAGAACGGTTTTCAAGACATGTTAGAAAAGTTAAATTTAGTTATAGCCAATTTTTATCTTTCTTGAGTAATTTCAATTAGATTGCATGGTACATATTCTTATTCTATTATGATTTATAACTTATAAAAAGTCGGAATATATTACTAAACGGTTCTTCATAATGTACATTACACAAACAAAAGTTATTTTAGAAAATGTTCAAAAAATCAGCCATTGTTTTGAGTTGCTTCTTTTTAAAACTTAATTACTATCTATTCTCACAGAAGGACCGGTCAACTTAATTAAACTTCTCTCGTACCGCCACTTCGAGTGCCTCTCTTAATTCATAAGTTCTTTTGTAAACCCTATTATTAACCATACCGCATAAAAAAATTAAAATCGATAGGTCAGGTGAGCGAGGAGGCCCATGCAATTGGTCAACATCTTCCTATTCCTGAGTTTGCATAATTATGATATAAATAATTTTGAACATTTCTTTCATTAGAGGGGGGTGTCATAATGAAAGTCATGTTGGAACCACTCTATTGATGCGCGAGTATCTCACTATCAAAAATCGAGTGAAAAACACAATTTTTTTCATTTGAAAAATTCATATTTACAATTTTTGTTTATTTTAATTTACAAAGTTTGGATGTAACAGCTTCACATTTCTGAGAGGAACGGCGATTGAACTTGTTTCCATGGCTAACTAAGTGAAATTACTTAAAAATGATAAGAATTGGCTATAACTCAGTAATTTTTCGAAGTAAACATATTATAGCTTATATCGCTGAAAAGCTTAAAAAATGGCGCTTTTTATGAAGTCATGGCTAACCATTATGGTTTCCATTTTAAAAAATGTATGTGTCATTACAGACAGGCTTTAGAAAAAACCGGAGAACACAATCTCATTAAGGATGTGAAGGATCTACAACTTTTATCTGAAAACTTTTTGTCTAAAATAGCTTATAAGGAAATTAGGAACAATTTTTAAAATAGTCGAAATTTGATTTTTTCGAAATATCTAGTAAGCCATGAACTTTTTCAAAAATCTGACAGGCGCATATTTATGACCCCACAAAACTGCAATTCTTTCCCCATTTAACCGACTCTATCTCCAGTAGTTTCCGAGGTACCCATAGAGAACATCGTAGGAAACTCACTCTGTATAATTAGCATTTTCGTAAACATAATTTTAATTTCTCAATTTTTAAATAAAATTAAAATTCCTATTTTGAAATCGAATTTTAGGATATATCATTGCTGTCCCACATGTTTAAGGCGGGTTGACACGGTCCAAGTGTGCTTGTAGACTGGCTGCCAACTTACTTGGATATTACGAAACCTTCCAACTCGAATTGAATAAAACAGTTGATGTCCAAGTGTTCTTGGTTCAAGTACACTTGGACAGTGCTCTAGTCGTTTGTGGGATCAGCCAAACTCATGTTTAATTAATATATCAGATTGGGTTTATCGTATTGTTATTTTAAAATGGACAATATGGTTAAAACCCTAAATATGCCAAACTTACTTCTACTAAGTTTTAGGCCACCTCAGTATACCGGATGCGTCTCAAAAGTGGCTCACCTCTATAACTTTTTTATTTATTCAGTTAAAAAAACGAGATTTGGTATGTTAGTATATGACATACATTAGGATTGGTTGACGTATTCAATTGTTCGCGGTCACTTCCTGTTTAACCGAAAATGACTACAACTTTTGATTTTTAAATCGCACCCTCGGTACTTTTTTTACTTTATTCGAGAGAAAATGACACTCTGAATAGAATGACATATCATATGTCAAATTTCACTTTTGACATTTTCGCATATGGTATATTTGACATTATAACCTGTGGTTCGTAACGAAAATTTGACTCGGAATACCAAGTATGTGGCATCAAACTATTCGTAAAAAAAATGCTTTTTCCAAATATGCTAATGAGCCACCCTCGTTCCATTTGAAAAAATTGAAATATGATTAAAAATACGATTTGAGCATTTTCTAACTGGCCAGGACATGACACTAGAAACATTAGACGTTCAAATCTATTTTTCCAAGGCTTCTTGATTAAGTATTAGCGTTTTTAACATAGCCATGGCACTTTAGATTGAACTTTAAAAATAATTTTTATTAAGCGAGAATGTCAAAAATATGTCATTCTTTTCAGAATGTCATTTTCTATCGAATAAAGTAAAAAAATACAGAGGGTGTCATTTAAAAATCAAAAGTTGTAGTCATTTCCGGTGAAACAGGAAGTGACCAAAAACAATTAAATATATCAATCAATTCTACTTTATGTCATATACTAACATACCAAATCTCGTTTTTTATCTGAAGAAATAAGAAAGTTATAGGGGTGAGCCACTTTTGAGACGCACCCGGTTATAAAGTTGCTACATTCAACAATTTTTGGTATATTATTTTTCTTATTATAAATGATTTGATGTTAAAGTACATATATCAATTAGTAATTTTTGCAGTCAACGTATTAATTGATAGGTACTAAGTAAGTTAATGAAACGGTTATCATAATTTCAAGAATTATGCATATAGAATCTATGATTAATATAAATATATAAAAAACTAGCGTTAAAAATTGTTTCATTTCTATCAATTGGTTTGTAAATCGCAATAAATAGTAAAGTACAATAAATAATAATTTTGTTGTAGGCAAAATGAAATCATACGGTTCATATCAAATAAACTTTTAGTCACGTGATTAAGGTGGACCGGCATAGCGTTGTCAACTTTTATATAATTTCTTTTAATCAAAATATTCTAGGAAACAAAAATAAGTTAATTATAAACATATCTAATAAACGGTTATTATTTAAATCAACAAAACTGACCTTTTTAACAGCACTTAAGGGACATTCATTACCACCGCGTTCCCGTTCAAAATATTCTAATAAAGTTGCGATGAGTTTTTTTAAGGCTATTAAGGTATATTGCACACTTCGCACTAAAAGAGGTTCTAAAAAGAACAATATCACCAAACCAAAAACTCGTAATTCAAAGCTAAAGTGTTAAAGCAAATGACAATGTCAGGAAATGCGGCAACTTGACATGTTTTACAGCAGGGCTACCACCTGAATCCCCAGCGTGAAATTTAATTTCCAGTTAGTCAGCGCGGCGCCGAAATGTCCATGGTTGGCAAGAATGAATTTAAAAATCGCGCCCTCGATTACGTAACTAAAAGTTTAATTGATATCAAATATATTTATATACATTACTATCTAAAAATCTCAAAACTGAGAACTTTGTACATAATAAAAAAAACGTCGTCGCATAAAAGTTTGGTTTTTGACCACTGTAACTTTGAATTAAGACATTAATAAATAATAACTTATAGGCTTCCTTTAATTTTTATATTTCTAATTAGCGACAGGCTATTGATATTGATAACCTGTCGTTGTCCAAATTAAAAATATAAAAATTAAAAGCAGCCTATTAGACTCTATTCAAGCTAAGTCTTAAAAGCTCAGAATATTAAATTATTATTAATAATTATATGTATGTGGAAACATTAATCCTTATAATTAATTTCTTTTTGTGACTACTATAAGCACATTTTCTAGTACATTTCAGACGCAACTTATTAAGGTACTTACTCAATACTATCTTTATAGACGTTGAAATCCTCAAAAGTAATTTCTACAATTTCTTCAGGTCCCGCCACGAAGCTGTACAAGAGGCAATCGATATTCCACGAGTAGGGCTTTGGGTAATCGGGACTCTTAAAGATGCCCTTTTCTTTGCCGTAAGTAGATGAGAAGATTAAGCACTGGCAACCTGAAAGCAATAAAATGATGTATAATAGGGATAAAGTCATGTTGGTTAACAAATATTACATGACCTGTAAACTAGTTTAATCTATAGTATGTTAATATGTCTGGTGTGACAAGGAAGTTCTTGCACATATCGTTATTTATCGAAAATTAATATTATTTTTCGAATTGGACTGTGGCTGCTCTTTTTGACAGTATTTAAGAGTATTCTAGATTGTTAATTAAATAATTACTATCCGACCCAAATAAATTAATTTTCTAATAGATTATTTTTCTTTCTTTACATTATTTATCTATTTATGTAGTACCAGCATATACTTTTTTTGGACAGGCAGAGGTAAACTATAAAAATGTTATATTCTCTATTTATCTGTAGAAAATAAGGTAAAGAACCAAAAAATAAAATATAGGTAAATAATAATATTATAATATTAGGTAAAGAACCAAAAGACATTCAAGCGATAATCAAATAATATTCCTATTCGGTTGGCTTCGTAGGAAGAAAATTGAAATTACTATAAAAAATACCATCTAATAAGTATTAGGTAGAGAAAAAATTAAAGTTACTGTACATATTAATTACATAGATTAGTAGTATCTTTGGTAAATGAATAATGCAAATTGTTTATTTATATACAAAATCAACAAAATTAAGCCAATACAGGGTGAGCCTTAAATAAGTGCAAATATTTGCAGAGCTAGTAGATCTTGATAAAAGAAACATATTTTCTCTTTACCGTATAAATAAGTCCAAAATAACCGAGATATTGAAATTTAAAAAAAAATTATTCGCTTAAATTTTGAGAATAACTAGATTTTTCTGAGTCTGCTTTTTTTAAATTTAATCTATAACCCATGTTACCATATTATGAAGATATTATGTTCTTTTTAAGTAAAAATGAAAAATATTTCAAAAATCTTTTCAAAAAATTCCAAATTTTCAAATTTTATATTTTACGAAAAGAACCTCATAGACGTGTTTTTAAGGTCGAGATATACTACCCCTAAAAAATTGCAATTATTTAAGACTCACCCAGTATAAATAATAATATTTTTTATTTTAAAATTATAAGTAAAAATGTTGCATGATAAAAAAAATTGACATAATGTCATTAAACTTAATGATCAGGTAAATTTTGTCCGGTAAAATTTGAGTGATAAGTTTTATTAAAATTTCAAACTTTTTTTTCAGAAACATGACCTCTTAGATTTACTGCTCCTAAACACATACAATTCAAAATTATCTTTTTCTTGTAAAAAACATTTATTATCTATCTTTTAAAATGTATTATTTAAATTTTAATTTTAAAATTCGGCATGTACTTTAACCAATTACAAAACATACTGACCAGTCATCACCTGTTGGTTGTGTGAGTGGTATTACACTAAAGTGATGAGATGACAGTGTTGATTGAGCATGTTCCACGTTTATATTGTCATTTTTATTGAACTTTGAATCAGTCAGATTTTGATTTAAGTTTGTAAACTTATACTAATTTTTTGTATTTTTAGTCTTTCGAATGAAATGTAACTTTTTAAATAAAATATTTTTAAAAATGAATTTTGATATCTTAAAGCTTGTTGTTTATAAGTGGTATGGTAAAGTATAATGCCTTCTAAGTTAGTGGTGTAATTATCTACATCGTAACATTATATAAGTACCTCGATTTACAATTTTATAAAAATGATTTGCTGTTGCAAAAGAATTTCACAAATTTTAATAACAATCTCTACACCAGAATAAAAGTAGCGGCGTTTTGTACAATTTTTATCAGATTCGAGAATCTGCAACTACCATAATGTGTAGTGTAACCTCTATTTAATATCAATTGTTCCTGTAGGACCTGTAAAACCATTAATATTCGTCTATATATCTTATATACAGGGTGGCGCACCTCATTCGCCTCGTTTGATTATACGAAAACGGAAAGATGTAGAAACAAAATATTTTAGGGGTATATGTGGGGAGACAATGTGTACAATTTAAAATTATTTTGACATATACAGGGTGTTTCAGAACTAAGATCCATACTAAAGTTATATTTTTTCTTATGGAACACCCGGTATTTTATTTAATTTTTGGATTCTTGAGCCCAAAAAAAGGCATTCATTATAAGGGTTAAATATGTTTAAAATCTCTAATTTTTGAGATATTTAAAGATATTTAAATTTGCATGCTACAATAGAATAGACTATTAACACCCGGTACATTACTTTTCAGAATTAATTCTTATGCTGAGTTTAAAGGTAGAGCAATAAGCTTTACTGAAAAATGGTATTGGTTCCTTAAATTTATACAGGGATATCAAAAGTTGCTGATCTATTTTAAGGATATATTTTATATAAAAACTTTGTTATTTCAACACCCTGTATTTTTTTAAATAAATCGAAGCAGATTCAAATGCCCTTTCAAACTATATTAGGGTTTCCTATACTTATATAGCTCAGATTTTGAATAAAAACGATTTTTAATAAAATTGTAATCAAGATGGCTGGTGTCGCCATGGCAATTTTCTAGTGACAGTAACTATTTTCAAAGTCAACATTAGCTTATGGACATTATTAATTATAATTTAAAACAGTTTACTTAAATTTACCTACAATAGTTTAATAGTAAGTATTCATTATTTTATCAAGAAAAATAAAGCACTATCGGCTGGCGGAACGAATAGATATGTTACTAGTGATATTATTTTGTGAGGAAAATTGCTTGTTGGCCTCAAGGGCTTATGATCAAAGATATCCAAATAGGAATCTTTCTGATAAGAGATTATTTGAAAAACTTGTCCTATTTCGCCTGGTAGTGTAGTTTATATAAAATCTATTAGGCAGAAACCTGTCGTTGGACGTGAAGAAAATTAATTTGCCGTAATTGTCTCTTTTATAGAAAATCGATGTATCTACAGGTCATCGTAAAATAATTCAAATACTACTCCTTCGTTTTTCTTGATAGAATAATAAACACATATTTAATAAATATTATTTATTAAACTATTGTAGGTAAATTAAATAAAAGTAAACTGGTACACATTTAAATAAGTCCATAAACTAATTTCGATTTTGAAAATAGCTACTAACTGTCACTAGTAACTTGCCATGACAACACTAGCCATCTTGATTACAATTTTATTGAAAAATCGCTTTTTATTCAAAATCTGAGCTAGATAGGTATAGGGAACCCTAATATGATTTGAAAGAGCATTTAAATCTGCTTCGACCTATTTAAAAAAATACATAGTGTTGCATTCGAAATAACGAAGTTTTTATGTAAAATAAATATTTAAAATAGACCAGCAATTTTTGATACCCTTGTATATATTTAAGGAAGGAATAACATTTTTCTGTAAAGTTTATTTCTCTACATTTAAACTCAGCACAAGAACTAATTCTGAAAAGTAATGTAGGAATATAATGTAGGGTGTTAATAATAATCTATTCCATTGTAGCATGCAAATTCAATTATCTTTCAATATCTCAAAAACCAAAGATTTTAAACATATTTAACCCTCATAATAAATACCTTTTTTTGGGCCCAAGAATCCAAAAATGAAATAAAATACCGGGTGTTCCATAAGAAAAAATATAACTTTAGTATGGATCTTAGTTCTGAAACACCCTTTACATTTCAAAGTAATTTTAAATTGTGCACATTATATCCCCACATATACCTATAAAATATTTAGTTTCTACATCTTTCCGTTTTTGTATAATCAACCGAGGCGAATGAGGTGCGCCACCCAGTATATATTATAATTCAATACAGTAGTAGTGCATAATTATCTCTATTTTCTTAATGACATAGTAAAACTGAAAAGTCATAATTTTTATTACAGTTTTCAATTTTTATCATTGGTATATAGTATAAAACTTAAGTTAATTTTTATACCTTAATATTTTGTTAATTTTATGTAGTATTGTAAATTATAGTGGTAAGTTTTAGATATACACATTTTATTTTGTTTTGTACTGACTTGTGAAGTAATTTTGTAGTACTCTTAATGAATCATATTAAAAAAAATATAGCGAAATATTATGAGTAACAATTTGAGTTAATTTTACACATTGATCGCTTACCCGAGTAATAGAATTTTCGCTTAGTACAGAGCTATCTATACTTCCATAAAAATACTAATTTAAATTCAGTTTTCCAATACGAATGAATTGAAATTTCAATGAGTAGAAAATATTCCATTTCGGAGTGGCAGCGTTTTAATTTAAAGCTAATATTTTATAGAACAAAGTAGTTTTGCTTCCAAGCCGCGTTCTGTGGAATAATTTTTTAATATCTGTCTATGATGCATTTCCTTTATAATAGATTTTGTCAAAGAGGGAATATTCTTTCTCTGTAGAATAGTAAAATATATTTTTCCATAGTCCAAATATATACTAATGAGAGAAAATTACGTTAACCTGGCGTTAGTCGCTATATGAGCATTTTGCTCACGCTACTAGTAAAACGCGGATATTTCATACAGTAGTGGAAATGATGACGCGAGGTGACGTCTAGTCTTCTAAAATACCTTTACATTTAGGAGGGTAGAAGGGGTAATGGGAAGTGCATATCGTTAGAGTTCTACATTATAATATTCTCGATTGTTCTCGCGCTGTGAGCATTTTGCTCATCGAACGACTAACCACGTAACTATGAGACGGATACTTGAACTAGCTCTTTTGCAACATACAGGGGAAACATTCAAGCCAGAAACCATCACATTTTATAATGAGACAAAAGGTGCTGCGGAGGTAGTCGATAAAATGAAAAGTTTATATTCAATATCGCGTGTCGCAGATGGACCTAGACTGCCTTTTTCTCATGCTCAACGTAGGAGCTGTGAACTCTTACGTTATATACAAAGCATGAGAGTGATAATGCCGCTATATCTGCGCGACGTATTTTTCTAAAAGAATCTTGTTTTGCAGCATGTAAGACCTCATCGTGCTAATATACAGAATCTGTCTACTTCTACATGCTTCTATACACAAACTAGCTGGATTGCCATTTTT